AAAACAAAATTTAATTAGGCTATAATTATATAAACACAAGATTAAATTCAAATGCTGCTCGATCACCCCTCCTGAGATAAAGATCCATACAGTAAGTTATAACACCTGAACCTAAATTAGAACTATTGTAATAGACTTAGCCTAAAGCTTTAACTAGTAAATTCATTCCAACTCTTTGAAAACTTTATTGTGAACCCTTTCTTTTCTTTTACCATCAATTTTGTATTTTAATTAAATAAATTTGAGTTTCGATACTGTACATGGAGTTTCCATTATATTCTTAACTTTAAGATTGATTACAACTGGGATCTGATAAGCTCTTCGGTAGCATCATCGCTCAGTCCGAGAAGCCACTGCCATTTTGTATTGGGTTGAGATAGAGATCCCTAGTTTGCGTTAATGGGTTTCTTTTATCAGGACCTTCAAAATAAGGGGTCACTCGATGGGTCTTACAATTTGAAATGTTTGAGTTTCCCCTGAAATCCCCCATTTTGGGGATGTACACGAAGTGGCGATTAAGTACTTCATAACATGTCATAAAGGTATGGAGAGTTAAGTTTTTCTAGTATGGGCCGTTAAAAAATTGACCAGGGTTCTCCAGACTTTCATTAACCCTGTATGTATAAATATAAAGGAATGTTGTTATTAGCATCTCAAGGGATCTAAAAAGAATTGCCAACAATTTTACTGCCTAATTACAAGAATCAAATAGCTGCTTTACACATTATGTGGGGAATACACTATAGTCCAAGTAAATATAAATAACAGACACAAGGATCGTTTAAAAATTGCGATAAATTTTCTCTAATTTTTAGGTCCTAACCTATATTCCTACTACTGTAATTGTCAATTGTGAACAATTGAATTTTGGTATGTTTGAAATCCCCTAATTGTTCAGTGTTCCCATGCTGTGAACCGCGCCCTCGTACCTGCACCCAGGCCAACGACTTGGAAGCGTGCTTCCATGTGCAGGCCCGAGGAGCAGCCCACTAAAAAAAACAAAAAAAAACAAACAAACAAAGTGAGAACCATGGATGGAGGTTCAAGAACAACGCACTATTTGAGAGAAACGAGCTGTAATAAACGAATTTCAATAAACACAACAACACAATAACAAGAATACATTGGCCTAACTCTGGAAATTAAAATTATATGATTTTGTTACCCATCTAGCCTACTAACTTACAAAAATTTCTTTAATTTTAATCAAATAGGTAAGACTTTCTAGACTAGCTTTTACCTTTGAAAAATTCCTTTTAAATTAACAAATAAATAACAATTATAACAAAATTTACTAATTTCTTTTAATTTTTTTTTTTACTCTCCGCCTCATGTTGGTGCTCCACCTCCTGGGCCCCATCAAGCGCGCTGGGCGCTCTTAAATTACTGCATAGTAGACAAAATCTTCACAAAGATGAAATTACGCACAAATACATTGAAAACATGCCACAAAAGTAATGATGTAATTGGATGAAAATTTATGCCGATGCAGCGCATTCAACAGTCTCGGAGCCTCTGAATAGTCGGCGGTGGGAGTAATAAGAACAAGACACAGCCTTGTTGAGGATCGTTGGAACAGTAAACACAAACTAACATACTATACAAAAAACACTTTGACCATTGATTATGAGTTGTGACATTCGCCGGTGGAAATTAGTCACGGCTCAGCTGGATCTTTTCGGATTTTTGTTTATTTATTGTTCGGTATGTATGATTTCAAAATATGGCTTAAATTTTCTTGATGCAGTTTTTCCCACCTCAAGTGTATTTTACTTGGATTACTGATTTTAACTACTGAAGGTTTTATTAAAAACAAAACTTGGATCAAGTCCTGACTTTCATTTTGCCTGGTGAGGTACGGCCAGGTACCTCCAGGTAATATAGGTGAGGTTTTCTATGTTAATATAGAAAACCACAAAGTAGAAGAAATAAAATTTTTTTATTTAAAATCGTTATTATGGGAAACCTAATGTGGCTATGAGTGGGAAACATTTGTAGAAAACACTAAAAAGCAAGACCAGTATTTAAAAAATGATAAGATAATTACAAAATGTTGATTGAAATGTTGATAGTAGGGGGAAGTGCAGAGTTTTGTGTGGGGATCCTGATCTGTGTGGTTCCATGTGGTTCCATTTGGCTCTGTTAGGCTGGACCTCCAGGAGATCTAAAAATAGTGCAATGCCTGGGGGCTACTGAATTTCTCTTCTCTTAGGAAAGTGAGAGTTGTTACAAGGAATTATTTTAATAAATAGCCTGAAAACCAATATTGAGTTGATGTAGACCAGGGTATGAGGGTAACATTGGGTATATTTAGTGCACATTTTATGTTTTGAATCATTTAATCTGTAACTGAATTTATACCAATATGAAATTTTAAATATTGGGATATACAATTTTACTTGGTATAAAAGTGTAGGTCAAAAAAGTTTAACAGTATTTAATAAATATATTCAATACCATTTGAAATGTATTGTTGTATTCATCTACAAATATTAAAAATAAAATTTATTGAACAATGTGGTTTGAATGTTATAACAAATTAAATTTATTAAATGAACTGGATGTATGCTACAAAAATGAATTTCTACCAATCTTGCAAGTCATTATAAGTCTGTAATCAAAAACATTTCTGCCATTTAAGGTTGTACAAATATATTCCTGCTCATGTGTAATTCGGTACTTGTAATTTCGTTTGTTGTTCAGTGACTCATTTAGCTAGACACAAAATGCAGAAATAAACCATAAATGTCAACGTATAAAAATTAATTGGAACAATTAGTGGGGTTTAACATTTCTTTTCATGATGTTTTGTAAACATAATGTCATTGCAATAAATATCCTAGTTTAGGAAACTTGTAATTTGTTTTTTCTTCAACGAAATAAATATGTTAGGATTAATTCCCTAAAGGTTTTTATCAATCACTAATCTTTAGCGTTTTTTATGAACTGTATGTTTACACCCAACTGTGCTTAAAGCAACAAATATGAGCTTATACCTTTAGATAGTTATACATAGTTATTGTAGGACCACAAATGTATGTGTTGCAGTGTTTTTAACTTACAATGTGTTTCATAATCATCACACTTTTTGGTAAAAATAGTTAAAATAATATATATAATTGGAGAACATGTACACACTGTAACTGTTTTTTGTAGTATGTATGAATTTAGAAACAAACAAAAACATTGCCTAAACATTTAAGTTAAACATTAACATCCAACTGTGTTTAAAGCAACAAATATGAGCTCATATTTTTATATAGTTTTACATAGTGATTGTAGGACCTCAGAAGTATGTGATGCAATGTTTTTAACTTGCAATGTGTTTCATAATTATCTTACGTTTGGTAAACGTAGTTAAAATAATATATTACTGGATAACATGTACACACTGTAACTGTTTTCCTGTAGTTTGCATAAATTTATAAACAAAACCTTGCTTAAAAATTGAACATTAGTGTGGAATTACAATTTGACATGAATAAAAATTAAACAGTGCAATCCCTCAAACACATTAAGATATCTCAGCCATGTATCGTAAACATATAATTCTGCTATGTATTCACTGAGATTAAATTAAGTTAAAAACTCATTTGCTTCAATATCGTTTTAATTTAAACGTCATCTCTGTTTATATATCGTACTTACGACATTTGTAAGATGTTAGCAATGTATTCATTAAATATTCATTGACTAAGGTTGTACAAAGTGTTGTTAATATGATTGTGTAATTGAAATATGATCTTACTTCATATATTGCAAATTTATAACTGTGTCAATTATTGTATTCTGTATAATCAGTGTCATTTAAACACTTACTCGAAACAAATACTGTAAATATAATACTTATGCTTTATGTTAACTAGAAATTTGTAAAATTGTAATATATTCATTTTGTATATAAATTTTGCTTTGTACAATAAAGTAGGTTGGGTTAAAAAAGACATATATTTTAACAACTTGAGTTTTATTAAGAATAACTTTCTGAAACAGTATACAATTCATATAAATCAAAGTAATTTTTATTACAACGTTAGAACAAATTTTAAGTAAAAAGATACATATAAAGACAACAAATATTTCTCCCAATTAATCTTTGATCATCATTCTGAATAGTAAAGTTATATGAATAAACTAAATCTCTTATCGTTATCTTTTCTCACCAACAAGTTATAAGTAAAGCAACTACAATCTGTTTTATAGGTAACGTTTAACACAATGTATTTTTTTTTCCTAAACGGAAATTGTATCCCATTATAAGACAAAATGTATCTTAATGTAAAATATTTTAGTATGTCAGCTCAAAATAAACAAAAATATATGTATTTATATGGTAAAATGTTAACACAGTATTCTTTTTACTCAAATACTCTTAGGCGCAAAGGTCTGTTAAATATGAACAAATAGCACCCTTTTATTGCAAAAACATGGAAAATAGTTTTACACAAAACTTTAATTTACTGTTTTAAAATATAATAATTAGTTGCTTGATGTTATAATATTTTTATGCGTAAAAATAATCAATCATTTCTTATTTATACTGTATACATAAATGAAATATATAATTAGGAAATAACTAAAAAAAAAATGATTAAAAGTACTAATGCTAACAAAGGTAATAATAATATACCCTCAACAAAATCAATTGGATAGTATAATTTTTTTAATTATTTACAAATCAGAGTGTGAATATGCAATGTTCAGAACTTTTTATGGCAACAATTAAAATCATGTCTATAAGCAACTTCGTCTCAAAACGCATGTGAAATAAATTTTGAATTTCGAAGAATTAATGTAACTATATCCTTTACAAAACAATATATCAATATAAAACTATGTTTGTAATTTACAAATTATTCAAATCAGAAAGCTTAGTATTCAGATATTTACAAATATTATTGATTAGCAATCTCGTCCTAATACACTGAATGAATAACATTTTAATGTTTAGAATAAATATCACTGTATTGTTAACATACAACTTTGTTTGATGAACTACTTTAACAGATATCATAGTGTCCATATGGAAGAGTATTAACACCATCTGCACATAAGTGGCGTTTGAAGTCATAACCACTCAGTGTCAATTTATTCTCCCACTTTGTCTTGACGTCGTGTCTGTATGACCGGAAAGTTGTGTTCATAGTATACCAGTCCTCATTTTCCATTATACAACGGCGGTAGTCTTCGGCACGAAGGATTTTTGATACTACTGGCTTGGTGATTCCTTTGCATTTCTTTATAGGATCTTGTACTTCATCTTCTTTTACGACGCAATATACTTTAGTTCTAACACCCAAGAACTCTTGAATGTATGTCCCGTTAAGTTCATCTTTAAACTTTCCTAATACTTTTGCATTGTCAGGTTGGTATGCTAGGTTGTTTTTTGGTAAACTACTAGTGTCGAGATGATAGACAATTGGCAAAAAACTCTCATACAAATCAGGAGTATATACTTCTATGACAAAACTGTCCGTGTCCATATAAATGAGGCGTACGTTATCTTCTCCATAGTGTGGGACTATTACCTCGTAGTAGAATTTGTACATGAGTTCTTTGCTCAGCTCAAGGATACACATCCCAACATAAAGTGGTTTCTCAAGAACTATGTTTTCTTTCGCTAGATTTATACCAACCATCGTTTCAGAAATAATTGTTCGGTGCAAGAAATTTGGTTTTGCAATTAGTTTTTCAGCCTTTCGTTCACTTGTTGTTAGTTTGTAGTTCAATCTTTTTCTTACGTTTTCCATTGTTTTTCCAAAAACCGAATTGTTGTACAGCTTGAAGAGATCCTTTTCAAAGTCATTTTTGGCAGCCTTCCGTAGGTTGGTGTTTAGATCTATGTATGGTTTGAGCCAGGGAGATTGGTCAAACCTTACTACTCTATGAATTGTGGTTACTTTCAGTCCATGTTTGAGTGCCTGTTTTAATATGCGATAGTGGGCGATGTAATTTTTCTTATTTTCTAACGTGGTTAGTAGTTTGGGGTGTTTTGAGCCAGGTGTGGGTTTCCTTTCACAAAGGAATGGGAGATCTCTGTGCTGATCGTGAAGTGACTGCGGGTATTCCATGTCCACCTCAAGTACGTAACCCACATCGCTTTCATCTGACACAGTTTCTATGTTAAGGCAGTCAATTTCGTCCCTGTCTAACCATCTAAATCCCCCTGTTGGTAGGTATTGAGATTGAGCCCATCCATACAAGTTGTTTGCATCCACATAAGTTAAATATTTGGAACGTTTTGAAGGGTCGTAGCCTGCACAATACCTATTATTAGCCACTGATCTTCGCTTCATGCACTGTGAAATGCCTCCACGTATGCCATTTTCAAAAAATAGGTAGATATCATGGTCCTGAATGGTTTCAAGTTTTATATTTGTGTTCTTCAGCATACAGTCCCATGAATATGAAGGCAGGGTGATGTAATAAGCAGGATCCAGCTGATGTGATTTTAGACTCGCATCTCGGAAATGTTCGAAGATGTCTGTAAGAAGGAGGACATCAGTAAGGAGGTACAGATCGGAATACTGGCCTAAATCTTTGATGTTGAAGGCTTTCCAGACATCTTCAGCGTGTTTAAAATCCTGTTCAGAAATAGTCTCTAAAGTGAGTTTGTTGTAGAAGGCTTGCCTAGGTGGGAGTTGTGTTTCTTGAAGTTTCTCCACTGAGGAGATGTATGAATACGGAAAGACACCTTTGCGCGTGAGAAGTGTAAACTGAGTGGGATCTGGAAATCTGCGTTTAGTTTCTTTGAAACATTCATTAGGAAGGTTGTCTGCTAGTTTAGAGAGGCTAGATGGGAGGAAGCGCAAGGTATCAACAAATCGAAGTTTAAGAACTCCTCTGTTTGCTTTCTTATAAGGGATATACTTGGTAAAACTAATATATTTCTCCTCAGAATTTGCAATCACAGAGACTTCTCTTTCATCATATCCAAGTTCTTTGATAATAAAATGTGAATCGTATGATAAGTTGTGAAAATAACAGTTGATTGTATTTTGCTCTTGATGTCTGATATTGCAACTTGAATGAGCAGCACCTCTATATGTATATGGGGTGGAATGCATATGATCCCTTACTTTGGGATCTTTATCAGAAGTAAAACCCAGACCACAAATATAGCACTGGTAGGCAGCAATGTGAGCTGCTTCCTCTGCTGGGGTTAAGTTGGGTGTCATACGCCTTTCTTTGTAGAGTTTGTCCCCAATTTTTAAAACATCTTTGTTAATGGATTCAACAAAATGCTTTGCTGCATTTGCACCTCTGTATAGACGTACAATAGGATCAGAACTACTAAGAGAATCTTTGATCAAGTAACAGTAAGAATGAGGTTCATGTGTATGGGTAATTGAATCTGAATCCAACATGTCATTTGGGATAAGACTACATTCGAAATCAGCATAAATGGCAAATCGCACACGTTGGCTTCTTTCGGGATGCTTAAATGAAATGAATGGATCAGGAGAAAGATCTAGACGGAGCGGAGTTTTTGAAGCGCAATAACGTTGGTGTTCAACCAACCTCTCTTCGCCACTTAAACCTAACTTGTTTGGCCTGTTTTCAAAGTAAGCAAAACATCTCTTGCAAATTGATATTGGATTATTTGTTTTGGTCAGTTGAGATTTTATTGCTTTATTAAAATCTCGTATGTAAACGTAATGGGTTCCTGAATTCTCGTTAGTCAAGAGGAGGAGATCACGATGGTCAGGTAGTTCCTTATTGGAAATCTTCAAAGGATACATTTTGTTTTCTTTATCGAGGCCAAATACGTTGATACTAATATTGTTGTCTCTCTCAAATTTCGGTATATCGTTCAACTTGACTGGAAAATCTATTGATCCCCAGTTATATTTTGTCTGCAATTCAGGTGTGTAGTTAGTGGGATATCTGGCATCACCTTGCACAAATTTAGCTAAAATGGAATACTTAAAGCAAAAGTCGTCCAAATTATAAACATTAATAATTCCAGCGTATTTTCTTGGTGAAGGTATATAAGAAGCTCCTTTTAAGGGGTTGTACTTATTCACACGAATTTCAAATTTTTTAACTTTTACAAACGACCAGCCTGATCCCTTAAAATCACATTCCTCTTTCTCTTTTACTAGTTTATGGAACAGTTCTGAGCACAAACTTTCAATATCCGTGGTCTTGAGCAGTGGTGTATTGTTTGTTTTGAAGTTCTTCAAACAAGTCTCTCCATGGGTGTTTATAAACTCACATTCTAAAAAAATGTTTATCTTCACACAGTTGTAGGTCTCCTGTACCTTTTGTAAAAGGCTTGTCACATGGTCAAAAACAAATGTTAAAAAAAGTGAAAGCGTGAATTTCTTGCTGAATTTACGTTTTAGTTCATAAGTTATTAGGCGGGATTGAAATGCCTTTTCTGTGGCCACAAAATCATGTATGTCATCTTCAATCTTGGTAGGTTTTCCAATAGGCAGAGCCATTGGCTCCTCTGTAGAAAGATTAACGTTGTTTTCAGTCTTGGAGGGTTGGTCAACATCTTGGTCCATTGGCTCTTCTGCTGAAGAATGGGTTGTAGGATTGTGAACAAAAGGAACGGGTGCAATTTTGACCCTTGTTGCTGGACAAACAAATTTCTTGTGGTGAATAAGTTTATCTTTGCGAGATACTACAGCTTTGCAATCTTTACAAACCCCAGATCCTGAAACATAAATAAAACATACTCTTTAAAAACTATTTATAAATATGTTAATTTTTAAAAGTTCAATATTGTAGGTGCATATCATAGTATAATATTATATCATAGACTAAGCAAGGGAGTATGATTTATCTATGATTATATGTATAATGCACAGCATAGTATTATAATAATAAATAATATTACAGTAATATATAAGGCAAGCAAGTGTGTAAAGAAATTTAAACACAAAAACAATTAAATTAAATGTAATATTTGATCAAAAAAACTATTTCAGCTTATTGCGTTTTTTTTTCAAAGTATTATGAAGTATTGTACTGTTATTAATTTATTATTTAATTAAAACAGGTTTTTATTTTAATCAATATTCATTGTTTAAATGGCATATTGTGACCTAAAAAATATAATATTAGCACCTGAATGCAACTTCTTTCGCTTTAGTAGTAAAAAAATATTTGCCATGTATATTAGTAGCATTAGTAGTTTTCACCAATATTGTGATGTTTTTTGCTGTTTGTACATATGTTAAATTGGTGGCTAAAAGTTGCCGTCCATAGCATTGCAATAGACTTGTTTTTTTTTTCGCACAGCCTAGCAACGATGAGTTTAATTTATCAACGATGAGTTAGATCACATAACCTTATAGCTGTAGTTGTGTTGACTATTAGCATGTAGTTGTTATTGCGGTGAATAGTGGTAATAGGGTATAGTGTGTGAAAAAATAGCATTCGTATCACGAATCGAAAATTGTTTTGCAGCTCTCGATCGTTTTAAGTTCTCGATACGTTTTAAGTTTTCGATTTGGTCTTATACAAGTTTTGGTGAGTGCTTTAAAATCTTCTACACATGAAAAAAATGTCAATATCTTTACATGATCGTTACGTAAACTACTATTACTCTACACACACACATTTCAAAAGAATTAAAACAATGTGTATAACCCCCCCCCCCCCGCTCCTAACCAAATTTTTTGTATTGTCTTGCCTATAAATCAATTTTTAGTTATACATTTTCCTTTATATAACTGTTTGCTAAGTTAAATTACAAATAAAAATCTAGGAAAATAATGTTTTGCTTTACCTTGTGAATGGGTCTTCATGTGCCTATACAAGTTAGTTTGAAATGTGAAGACTTTATCACATTCAATACAAGGGAATCCTTCTTGCATGGTAGATTTAGACCATTCCTCTTGTTCTTGATTACATGCAGACACTGATTTTTTAGGTTTTAAAGTTTTGATGTTTGGTGTTGCGTGTCCTGCTTCTTCAACATCTAAAAATAAAATCATGATTATAATTATTATTTTAATTTTATACTCTTTTTTAGCTTCAGTAGCTTATGACATAACCATTAGTACACTAACCACAATGATGTTAAACATATCCTACTTAAAAATGTTGTACACAAGCAATAACTCATGGAGTGTTATCCTGTTGGCAATACCACAGATTCTTTTAAAGCAACAAAATACTGTTACAACAGAAAAGATTTAGGTAAGAAGCTTCATACACTAATATTAAATATTTCCAATTTCACATAAAAACAAGAATTTGTAATTTTTACCCGTTTAAAGTTATGTAGAATGAAAACCATATAAAGCCATGATAAACTATAAAAAATGAACTCTATTATAAATATCGCTAAATTGTGAGCTTATAGATCATGCAAATTTTAAAACTATATTTTTGTTTTCGTTACGTATTGTTTAACGTGATATAAAATAGACATTCTATACTTTATCACTGCTATGTGAAAAAAAAACAGGTTTGTAAGAGCTGTGTTGTGAGTAATGTATAAGTTTGCATTTACAAACTAAAAAAAAAAAAACAACTTATAGTTAACAAAACAAATTACAAATAAATTTTACAAGTTCAATTAGCCCATGAGAATGCTTTACAATGATATTATATCTTCATATAAGTTTACCTGATGTATCTATTGACATTTGAATATCTCGGTTTGGAGTGGGAATTTCATTGCTTGCATTGTGGAAATCATTGCGTGTTTTAGTCAAGCCATCCATTTCATTGTCAAGTCGTGCACGTTCTGTAAAGAAAAAAAATATTCGTTAACTAATCTCAAATTCAAGCCTTATTATATAAAGAAATTAGCTGATTTTGTATCTATAAAAAATGTAAACCGGAAATATTACCTGTTATAACTATACAGACTGTATTTTACAGTCATTTTATGTTATGTGAGAATCCATCTATCATCTTTACTATTGTACTAAATAACGTGAAAAAAAAACTTGTTCATGTTTTGCATCAGCTAAACAATATTTTTAGGTAGGTACCGATTTAGAAAAGGTAAATCATCAACTTTTGTACTTGAAGCTTGCCATCTCAAAATGGTTTTGGGCTAAAAATCTGTTTAAAATAAAATCAACTTTTTCCTCATGTTGGCACCATGATTGTCAACCTGTCTATTTCTTTAAAACGCAGTATATGTTATATATCAGTAATAGACAAATTAATAAAAATTTGATAAAAACATATTTTTTCAAATGCTTAAATTATGCATATTATTAAATTTTCGGAGTTATTGGTCATGTTATTACTTCAAAAATACGTTTAGAATAAAAACTGTAAAATAAAAAGTATTGGAAATGTTTTATTCTAAAAACTTTATTTTTTGTATTATCTGTTACAATTAGCCAAATCTTTGTAAGATATTATAATTTTTCGTAAAAAGTGAATACAGGATTAAATAATGGCAAACCTGCACACTTAAGTATTGATGTGACACAAATCTATATCAGGGGAAGTCTACGGGTAACAGCTACTGTAAAATAAACATGCACTGTATACAGATTTACAAAATACGTTTAATTTTACTTCAGTTAAAAAAGAGTTTAGAAAATAAAGCTGAAAATACGTTTAGAAATTAACTATTTATAGTTTTATAAAATTATTAATTTCGTATATTTGGTCAAGATAAAATTTATTGATTTTTTATGTCACAAAACTCATAAAAAATTCATAGCTCATGCTAAAACTGTATTTAGACTGTTTTAAACTATAAATGTCGCACAATTATAAATTTCGTAAACAAATTTATTTTTTTCTTTTATTTTACAGTTAATTTTTTTTTCATATCAACATTGTTTTATGGTCCTTTAAAATAGGCACAACATGTTTTACCACATCAAGTTACATCGATTATGTAAAAGTGCTATTGCACCTAAATAATTTAATTACAGTTGAAATAAGCTCATTTGAAATAAATTAATGTTTGTAGTTTTAAAACTTGCTAAACAAAATTTATTAGATTTTAAGCACATAACAAACCACATGTTTTGCTAACAAAAAACCACATATAAATGTGTAATTATTTATATCACCATATAGAATTCATTATTACATTACTTTAGACTCTCATAACCGTAAACAATACCAATACTTAATAAATCAATATTAATCAATAAGTGATCAAATGGTCCCTACACATATTCTATCTGTTAACTTGGTTTAATAAAATAGAATTTAAAATAATTTGGAACAGTTTTACTTACTTGAATGGATTTGAAGGTGGCGTTGAAAGGCATCTTTGCGATCAAACTTTTTATTACATTCACGGCAAGAGAAAATATCAATCTCAGTTGGATCTAAATGTTTTCTCATGTGGCGCTGTAAACTTTTTTTATATGTAAATTGTGTGCTGCAAATATCACATGTAAATGCCATCTTCTTTTATCTAAAAACAAACAAAGACAAGTTTAAAAGCAGCATCAATGCAATTTTAAATAATTACCTTCTAAATATGTCAGGCTCATAGGCATAGTAAACAAAGGTTGTTTTCAGTATATTTGTACTTACGAACAAAATTACTCAAGTCATCAGAATCATCATCATCATTGAAAAATAGTACTTGTAATTTTAATTTTTTTATTTGCACCCCTACAAATCATTCAATTTCTTAAACATATCATTCAAAAACTAATATTTACATGAACATTTTTGTTGGATAGCAAAGCTTATTTCTTATTATTACTCATTAGTTTTTTTTTGTCATACTAATAATTCGACTCTTTACTTTGGCTTTCTCTTTTTTTTTATTACTTTAAAAAGAATACGTTTTCATAGTTCGTGGAGTGTCTGGTTTATGTGGCACAAACACTTTATGATTTTGTGGATTTTTTTCAAAACAGTTTTAGGAGTAAACATTTAATACCATTCACTATGTCAATTATGCTAGAACATGGATTTTTTCCCTTTATCCTTTACGATTATTCCTTTACAACAAAATGATATTTCATGAATAATATTTATACTAAGCCATAATTATGTAATGCTAGGTTATAAAAAAACTTACCTTTTTAATAATAAACACGGTGTAAACTGATAGCAAACTTTCACCAAAACACTGTAGATCAGGGATGTTACGCACTACCGGAGAGATCAACTCAGCAGCAGTAACAAAGTGAAAGTGAGCACAACCCTAAGTTGCGTCTCTATTTATACACAACCCCTAGCAGTGTGACCTCAATAACTCTAAAAATACCTCAGTTTGTTTCCTGTTATGATCTTATTGTGAAATCACTGGACATTCTTTTTAAGTTGCGAAAGAGTTTATATAACAAAGGATGAAGTTCATACTTTCGTTGGAGGAAAGGTTTATAGTTAGCTAGCTATTGCAATGCTATAACGTTTGCTTCAGATTTTTACTTTTTTAATAAGCTATTCGATTTTTTAATATTTATCGTAAAAGAAATCATCACATTAAACGGTATCCAAATGATTTGTGAGCAAATGTGACGTTTAATTTTTCATATGTAGCAAATTTGAATGAATGTTTTTCTTTTACAAATAAACAATGCAATTAATTTATATTCAACATACTGTTGCATCCAAGATTATTTGTACAAAAAAGGATGTTAACAATTTGCTATGGGTACTGTTTTGAATAAAGTTGACAAACTTAAAAATAACATATTATAAATGAAGATGCACTTTGTCTTATAATGATTTACAATGCGCGTTTAAAAAAATGCATTGTGTTAAACATTATCTATAAAACGCTAGTTTTTTATTTATTTTTATTTAATGGCATAAAAAAATAGAGATTTTGTTTATTTCAGATAACGTAACTATTCAGAAGGTTAAAATAAGAGAGTTAGATAAATATTTGAACTCTTTGTATATTTTGATTTTTTTCCTAAATCTTTTTAAATAATTTAATACAAAATTACATTGATGTCCATAAATGTTATAATGTTTCAGAAATTATTCTTTGATAAAACTCAGTTTGTTGAAAATATATGTCTTTTTTATTTTAACCCAACACACTTTAGTGTACAAAACAAATGTATGCATTTTTATGAACTTATAGTTAACTTTAAGCATAAGTATTATATTTAAGGTATTTGTTATGAGTAGGTTTTAAATGACACTGACTATACAGAATACAATAATAGGAAATTATGCATTTACAATATATATGAACTAAGATCGTGTTTTGATTACAATCATATTAACAACACTTTGTACAACCTTAGTCAATGAATATTTAATGAATACATTGCTAACATCTTACAAATGTCGTAAGTACGATATATAAACAGAGATGACGTTTAAATTAAAACGATATTGAAGCAAATGAGTTTTTAACTTAATTTAATCTCAGTGAATACATAGCAGAATTATATGTTTACGATACATGGCTGAGATATCTTAATGTGTTTGAGGGATTGCACTGTTTAATTTTTATTCATGTCAAATTGTAATTCCACACTAATGTTCAATTTTTAAGCAAGGTTTTGTTTATAAATTTATGCAAACTACAGGAAAACAGTTACAGTGTGTACATGTTATCCAGTAATATATTATTTTAACTACGTTTACCAAACGTAAGATAATTATGAAACACATTGCAAGTTAAAAACATTGCATCACATACTTCTGAGGTCCTACAATCACTATGTAAAACTATATAAAAATATGAGCTCATATTTGTTGCTTTAAACACAGTTGGATGTTAATGTTTAACTTAAATGTTTAGGCAATGTTTTTGTTTGTTTCTAAATTCATACATACTACAAAAAACAGTTACAGTGTGTACATGTTCTCCAATTATATATATTATTTTAACTATTTTTACCAAAAAGTGTGATGATTATGAAACACATTGTAAGTTAAAAACACTGCAACACATACATTTGTGGTCCTACAATAACTATGTATAACTATCTAAAGGTATAAGCTCATATTTGTTGCTTTAAGCACAGTTGGGTGTAAACATACAGTTCATAAAAAACGCTAAAGATTAGTGATTGATAAAAACCTTTAGGGAATTAATCCTAACATATTTATTTCGTTGAAGAAAAAACAAATTACAAGTTTCCTAAACTAGGATATTTATTGCAATGACATTATGTTTACAAAACATCATGAAAAGAAATGTTAAACCCCACTAATTGTTCCAATTAATTTTTATACGTTGACATTTATGGTTTATTTCTGCATTTTGTGTCTAGCTAAATGAGTCACTGAACAACAAACGAAATTACAAGTACCGAATTACACATGAGCAGGAATATATTTGTACAACCTTAAATGGCAGAAATGTTTTTGATTACAGACTTATAATGACTTGCAAGATTGGTAGAAATTCATTTTTGTAGCATACATCCAGTTCATTTAATAAATTTAATTTGTTATAACATTCAAACCACATTGTTCAATAAATTTTATTTTTAATATTTGTAGATGAATACAACAATACATTTCAAATGGTATTGAATATATTTATTAAATACTGTTAAACTTTTTTGACCTACACTTTTATACCAAGTAAAATTGTATATCCCAATATTTAAAATTTCATATTGGTATAAATTCAGTTACAGATTAAATGATTCAAAACATAAAATGTGCACTAAATATACCCAATGTTACCCTCATACCCTGGTCTACATCAACTCAATATTGGTTTTCAGGCTATTTATTAAAATAATTCCTTGTAACAACTCTCACTTTCCTAAGAGAAGAGAAATTCAGTAGCCCCCAGGCATTGCACTATTTTTAGATCTCCTGGAGGTCCAGCCTAACAGAGCCAAATGGAACCACATGGAACCACACAGATCAGGATCCCCACACAAAACTCTGCACTTCCCCCTACTGTTGATTGTATAGAAATGTTATGTCCATCGTGAGTATTTTTATAATCCTCGAGTCAACTATTTTAAAGTCATCTGAAAATATGACTGTTATTCGTTTTAAAATAACGCCTGTAATACTTCGCAATTACTCGAGTTTGAACAACAAGTATACTGGTATATTTTAAATGTTCCTAACTGTGTTAAAGAAATATTCCAATGCACATGTTTAATTTTTTTAAATAATTAGTTTTTGTAAAGTGGAGAAAATTAATGATTAAACACGAGTGAAATTTGGTCAACATCTCGCACCTCAAAAATATGGTCTCAAATATGTAATTACTCCCTCTATAAATGTTTCTAAAATATACTATTACTGATTATTGTAATGGGTTTATCTATTGTACTTTGTACATTGTGTACAAACGTAGAGGTATTTATCACACAGCGTCAATTTACTTGAAAACAGGTTAAAAGACAATGTAGCTCAAAAGTAATTCTGTACTTCAGTATTGTTGATACAACTTCATTAAAAGGTTGGTTTGCAATTAAATGGGCTATTGATTGGAAACTAGGAAAACAATATTACAATCAACTGATTCAATCAACCAAATGACTATAAGTTGCAAAATTGCATTGAAACTTTGGCTCTTTGGATAATTAGAAAAATCCTAAAATTGAATAATTTTGAGAATGCTAGAATTTTAGAATTCTAGAATGCTTACCTATTCTACGAAAGAAACGAAAATCCCATATTATGTATTTCTAGGTGCGACAATACAATTTTAGTCATGCGCTCATTTTCTAAATCTTTGTATACACTGATAAAAACAGCAACACAACAAACATTGAGGTTCTTAAGACAGATAGATCCGCATTTCCGATGGAAGTTGTGGCTTTACAGTGTACAGAACTTCTCATAGCAAGTACTTAGTATACTAATTTTAAAATGTATAACAGTATCAAGAACATTACCTTTACATCAAAGACCACCGCCATGATATGACAGCTCAAGGGCAACCAGTTACTAAATATTCCCATAAAGAAAGCGGAATAAAATTTAAATACTATCTAAAAGGTTTAATTGCATGAACAAGGTCGTAGAGACCCTGAACTTTGACTTTTCAAGTCCACCTGTAGTACAATCTACTCTGGGTCGGAACAGACAGCCAATAAATCACTAGGCCTATTTAATTTTAATTATAGATATGTAAATATGTTTCTATAAAATAGTACTACAGTACTGTGTTCGGTACAAAAAAATCTCAAACAAATATAGCTTATATGAAAGGTAATTAATTTAGGTAATTAATTAGATATTTCGTGATGTTGAGTTATTTAAAACAAATATTTTCTGATGAGGACTAAATCAATGGACCCCAAGGAGGTGTAATGAGATGAAAAATTACAACATTTTGTATACATACTACCTATATATTATTATATTTATGTTATTATAATTGGTTTGTAATAGTTACTCATTTACACGTTTGTTGTACTAGGCCTAGTCAGTTGGAAAATATCCAA